GTAGAGAGGTATACCTATGCAGTAGATACCTCCTACCGTGTTCAGTATGTCATAGAGCTGAACAATATTAGACAGACGTAAAAATATAATAACATCGAACACAACAACATATCGATAGAGATACGATTTTTTTGATTTTTTAACCGGAGACACGCAGACAATAATATACGTTTTTGAGAACGACGTCATGTAATGTTTATCGCACCACTCTAACTATATGGTTCGAATTTACGTCGGCTGACGCACGGACGTAATTGAACTTTATCACTCAGCTGGTTATTTTTATTTATCATGTGTGAGCGTCGGAAAGAGCTAATAATATTATATATTATACAATATGCTATCTACTATCCAGTACCCACACTGCGCCACGGCACGCGTTAACGATAAAATATAATAAAATATTATATTGTGCCCGATGCGGTTTTTGATGGCACTATTACTAGAGGCGGTCGTAACTCATAACGAACACATGCAATATTTAATGGACGTTTTAATTTTTATTATTATTGTTTCTGCTCGAAAACCGCGAAGACGACTGTAGAAGGCATTTGCAAATCGTTATTTTAAAAACTCGATGGACACACGTGGCAATGATTTTAATAATATTATTATATTGTAGGTCCGTGACACGATTCTTTATCCGACATTTGATGTTAATTGTCGAGGTCGTAATTTGGTTTTTCTCAAAGGTTGATGAATGTATAGTTTATGCGATAAAATTATACGCAGGTATTACCTAATAAATAAGTACGAAATCTGTAAATATTATTGTCATTTGTAGGTATATAATATGTAATATAAATATATGAAATATATACATAAATACATAATATACATAATATATAGGTATATAATATGTTGACTTCTATCTTAAAAATAATATTACTTATGGGTACTAATTTTATAATACGTCACACCCGCTTTTTAGGGGGTTTAGTGTAGAATATCTTAATGATATTTTAAGAGAAATAAAAAACAAAAATGCAAATAAAATAAAATACCAACTAATTAAAATTATCTTATCTATTCATGTTTTTTTTATTGTACGTTACTATCGTACATACCTACCATACAGTTAGACATATTATTATATTGCTAAAAATTATTTTATTTACTTAGTGTACAAAAAAAAAAGATTACAGATTGTAAATATTCTTAGTTTTTTAAATAATAAAAAAAATATTTTCAAGCGGTTCCAAGGTATATAATTGTTGGTTGAGAAAACAGATTCGTATGGAATACAATCGAGAAGGCTACAGTTGTTATTGATAAAAACCAAATGTTCACCCTTTCAAAACGATAAAGTATTGACTATCTATTATGCATCATTGTTTTTTTTTTACGTCAATTTTAAGAAATAATTATTCTTGATTTAAAAACCTATAGCAATATTGAAAAACTAAAATGATATCACAAGTCATTTTTTATTTTTTCTATTGTATATCTTAGTTAGAGCTCAAGTGGTTTGCCTGCGTAATTCGATTTTGAACATGACGTAATGTATGGTTTTATGGCATTATATTATTAAAGTAATAAAATATTGGAAAAAGGTATTTAGGTTGGTATATGGTGTAGGTGTAGTTATGGTTGCATTAAACCATAATTCATATCATATATTATATATGTTAAAAGTAAACAGCACAAAAATGTATCGAGTTTATCTTGGTGAAAAAAAATGTGATAACAAGATAGATCTTAATTTAGTTAAAAAATATTTAAATTTAAATGTATGAATTTATAATAAAACTATTTAAAAATGAAAATGTTTTATTAATAAAAAGATCCAAAATTCACTTTTGTAGTAATAAATAAACTTTATTTTTTATATTACCATATTATAATATATTATACACTTATACATATTTATAAAATACAGCCACAGCACGGAATTAAAATTTAAAAATGTTAAGTGATGGTCGTTTAAGATTGATTTATAGAACCCTAATAGTCCTTAGGAAATTCTTGTAAATAAGAAATTTGATATCACATAAACGTAGTATAATAACACTGGAATGAGACATATTATTAATATAACTGTAGACATTTATTACAGAAATGTTTAAAATTAATTTCTATCATTCACCCGGTGTTTACCACAACTCAATAAAAAATCTATTTATTAATCATAACACAACGTTATAAGATAATAAACTGTTGCGTATTTGTGTCGACTGGTGACCGATATAAAATGACTAATAGTTTCGAAAAAACCATTTCGTTTGTTCATAAATTTAGCCATATCTCGAAATTCCCACGTTCGAAACGGCCGTGTATCTATCACTGTGATATTATTACGAACCTAAGCGATGTTCGTCAGTGCACGCATATTTTTCTCTGTCGATTATAATGTTTTTTCATCTTGAAAATGCTAAAACATCTTATTTAAAACGTTTAAACACATTGTGAAATAATTGTGCTGACACTACATAATATATGTTATTATATTATATTATACTATATAATATATATACCTGACACGCGTGAGTACCTATACTGAGCATAACGAACCTCTCGCGACAATCCAATCTCAATCGATCGTGATAACGTAACCAAATATTGGACCGTCGTGCCGATGAAACGTTCCGAGGTGCACCGATACGAGGTCAGCGGGACTGCTCACTCGTCTGCACTCGTTGCACTGGACTTGGCAGTATCGCCGGAAACGGTCGTCGGTAAGTTCGCAGAAGCAAACGTCTTCTTCTCGCGGGCTCCTCGACCTGTGAACGGAGGAGAATCTTCGTCACCGGTGCGGACACGATCGGACGACAACGAACTCGGCACGGTACGTCAACCGCACGAGGACATCGACCTGCAGGCCTGCATTGCCGCGGGAAGGTCCGATGATGGTCAGTTATTGCATTCTGTCCCACGGTGCCATTGTGATTATCCGCAGCCGCCGGACGCAGACCTCATAACCGTGGAAGTCGATCACTCTGAAACAAGTGGCGTTAAACGGAACACGAAGAAGGAATCGCGACCGGATTCGAAAATATCAGCGTCTCCGTCGTCTTGGTGGCGAAGATCGAAAAAATTCGTGACGGATTTCGTCGTCTATGTCGCGTGTGCCGTTTGTCTATGCTGTTAAAACCCGGGTCGTGCGAGTGGCATAGAATTGGGCACGATCTCCAGCTCTTTCTACAAAATATTTTTTCAATGCACGCATGTCAAAGAAAATATTATGTCAAAATATAAAATATATTTATGTTACGAAGAACAATTTCTAAATGACAAATTCATAATACATATTTTTTATCCGATAACCATATATTAAGGTAAATATTAATATTTAAAAATTATAAATATTAAGAGGATGTCAGAGCACTATTTGTTTTGTCTCTCTGGCCCACGCGCAACATAGACAAAACGCATTTTCGCAGAATCGTTTTTTCTATGTTTTTAAGTAATCTTTGAGTAAAATAAGCTATTACAAAGAAGATAGAGAATAATAATTTTTGAGCGATCGAAATATTGATTTGTCTAAATATTGTTTTGAAACATTTTTTTGTTTATTTTTAAAGTCAAATACAAAGTCATACAACAATAAAATGTACAATCGATATGTCATTACTCATTACCTTTAAAATATTATTTTCTATCTTTTTTGTAATGGTGAATTTACTCTAAGATTACTTAAAAACATGGAAAAAATTGATTCTGAGTAAATGCGTTTTGTCTATATATAGTGCGCTGACATCCTCTTAATATAAACTACTAACATTTTTAAAGTACTATAATATTATATCCCCCTATCTTCAAAAACACTTTATTATGGGAAAATTATTATCCTTAGTACACAAAGTAAAATAACTCAAAAATTAATAGATTGAATTTTGATTTTGATATATCAAAGTTCAGATAAATAATTTACAGTAAAAAGGGGAGGGGGTTATTTGAAAAATAGAAAGTTGTACTACCACAGGACACTCCTTAAGAAGTGTGAAAAGGTTGATATTTAAGAGTTGAAAGAGGACCACCAAGTGTGTTTTAGGGTTCCAATGTATCTTTAATTGGTGCTGTTTTTTATTTGTATTGGTTTGTAAATTGATCACCTTGTTACACCATTGTTTGTACTGCAGGTTTTGTTTAATTTATATTATAGTATATAGTCTGATATACCGTATTTTTATCATTAACCACATACCCGTGTCCCGTATAAACTAAAATGTATAAAATGACAGTTAATGATTTTTTTTTTGTAATAATACAACTGTTCTCTTAATGTGTATATGTGTTTATAGCTTATACATTGATACATGATATTTATGTAATAATAACGGTTAATATTTGGGTATACAGTGGTAAGTAACCACAGTTGTAGTCTGTATAGACATAGGGTACAACCTTTTAACTTGCAACAACGAATGATAAAATTCGAGAATACTAAGAATAATTAGTATATTTTACAGATAGATTTTATTTTATTTAAAGACAAGAAGACAATGTTATAAATGAAAATTATTGAGTTCATTCAATTAAGATAAATAAACATTTTTTTGGGGGATGGAGTGGCCGAGCGGACTAAAGCCGGATTCACAGCTTCGTCGTGTTTCGTGTCGTGTCGATCAAATCGTATTGTGATTGGATATTACTTTTTGGCATTATGTAATAACCAAGGTGCAACCGAGTATACCTAGAATTGACTACTGCTCAACTTTTAAACCATATTGGTTATCAGTCGTAACCATAATATAGTAACCAAGCCCTCACATGACACGACACACGACGTAGCTGTGAATCCTTAAGGCGTCGGTTGCGACACTCACGGTTACCAGTTCGAACCTCGGCCAAGAGCAGCACTTCTCTTCGGGCAATCAAGGTGTCTGGAGGGAGAGGCCACCATCCCCCACCCGGGAATGGCAGAAACCTGCGGGTGCTCACTTGAAAATTCTGACAAACTAAAGCACACGCGTTTAAAACCTACATTACCCTCCCCCACAGTTAAAAACCACTCAATGGCATTAGTTGTCGCGGGTTAATTAATAATAATAAAAAAAAAAATGTCGTTAAGAATGTTAAATTTATTTGTAAACATTGGTTTAAATCCTTGGTGATTAGTAAAAAAAAAAATGAACTGTGATTACTGATTATACTTTAATTCGCACTGCATAAAATTAATTTGATTATTATGTAATATCTTTCACAAATAATAATAATTTTTTGAATATGAATTTGATGAGTTTTTTTTTGTTTTTTTAGCCAAGTGGATTTCTTAGTAAGACTATTGGGTACGAAGCTATAAAAGATTTATATCCAGTAAAAAGATGGGACTCAAATTTCAAATACTGTCTCCGCGTAGTCGTCACTAATGGCTCTTATTTATTACAGGTGATTGGTTCTTAAACATTCTAAAAATATAAATAATTATTGTTCGTCACATGTTATTCGAATTACTTCTTTTTAAACACGTGCGTGACGTTGATTTGCATAACCAATACGCCGTATTAACTGTTTATATTTGTTTGCAGACTACCAATCAGTATTTGAGAGATCAAATTCTTTACTCAATTCTATGGAAGGTTCGTTTCAAACTTAATTGTATGTTGACACTATTTGTCGGTGATAATTTTTTTTTTTTTAATATTCATTCACAGAAAAACGTTCAGGAAACCCAAACACTTTTGAAAAGTCAATCCGATCCAGACGATATGTTAAAAGAATTGCAGGTAATGCATAATAATAGCAATATTATTATTTTCTAGTTGTCTATACCTAATTGCGTTGTCCCTTCAAAACGTTTAAATGTGTAATGTGTTAAACAGAATATAGTGGATTTTGCCAAAAACATTCCATTGGTCGATGATGAAATATTTCATATGCCAACTTTTATTGCGAGTACGCTAATGACAAGAGTATGTTTCTATTTGTATATTAAAATAAAATAATAATTATTACGATTTTAGAACTGACAGTATTTACATACCCATATAATTTTAATAAAATTTGTTTCGACTTCTAGGACCAGGAAAAATACTGCAAACAATCATGGGAAAAGGCACTGATCGGTACGTTGCGCCCGTTGATTGAAGACTGTCCCCCGTCCGCCGAAATGTGTTCGTTTTTATCGCATCATTGCAAAGACCAAAGTAGCCTACCTATCATTAAAGATTCCTTAGTTTACACCATAACAAGAATACTCAAACATAATTTTGTGAGTGCACGGTTAATAAAATAAATATAATATGATATGTCTACACTGTATTATTATGTATGATATGTTCACGGTCGTTTTTCTGATTTTTTTTCGGTCTTTGCAGGACTTTGCGAGAACACTGACGGCTCGCACATTAGTACAAGATTATATCAAGGCTCTTTACATCCAGGACCGAAGCGGCGAGTCAATTAGATATTTTCTATCGAGGTAAGCAGAGCCGAGCTTTAAATTTTTTTCCGTATCGCCACAATATTATAATACCTATCTGCATATGCGGAAATCGGGTGAGGGGCTTTAGGGAACTAAGCCCCCCAGAAGTTCAAAGTACAGGTCTTAGCCCCCCTGGCCCACAACATTTTAAAGTGGCTAAATATACAATAATTATTGTTATAATTGTAAAATTCATATTTAATAACTGAATTAAAAAATAAATTATAAAAAACATTCTGTGATAAAAATTAAACTAAATTCGTAAGATTTTACTAACTTATTATCAACTTGGAACGATCGTAATTATGTAGTATTAATAATAAGTAATAATACCCACATAAGTTGTTTATCAACAATCGTCCGCGTCTCGTCGCGCGTCGTCCCGGTTTTGATGAAATTACTTATTAATATGCTTTGGGGGTAAGTATGTGACTTATACATTTTGTACAAGGCAACTCTTATGGATTTGCTGACTTTATTTGAATCCATTGGTTATAATTCTAAATTAAAAATGAAAAACTCAGTAATTTCTGTTTAGAATATTTAAAGATAAGGTACATTATTTTTGTTGTACTCAATTATGGTAAAATTGTTTAGGATGTCGAACTTTGTAAATTGTATTGTTGAAATAAATAATTTCGAGTGGCTCTAGTACAGTGGTACCTATAGGTGTAATGAGCATAATATAATGCTCAGCCCCCCCCCCCCCCAAGTAATTACAAATATACGATACACAAATAAAATGTAATAAATTGAAAATAATTGCTGTTATGCCTGTTTTAGAGTCCACAGTGCCAGCGCTGTGTGCCCTCATAACAGGGTACTGCCGAACATGGTGTCCACCTGTATTACTGCCATATACTCCGCATCAGAGGAGTTGCCGGCTAACTGTTCGGAAGCCGAATTCGATTGCTATTACACCAATCACCTGAGATGCTACATTGTTGTTCTTCAAAACATGTAAGACATACTCTATATTATCTATGGTATATAAGATTTATATACATTTATTATACACGTATATAATATTATGTGTATTACAACATTTACTGATACGTCTTATCTCCTATACCGACACCTTGCTACCGTCACCTGTCCGTACCTATATATACGTACTTAATTATATATTACTGTAGTTATTATTGGGCCTATAGTTATTAATATGCCAAAACGTATCGTACATGTCAACAGATCAGAATACAGCGATTGGCTGTACGGACTTGCTCAACTGTTGCGTCCGCTGCCGTTTCCCGCGTTGCTGTTAATTCGTTCAATTTTTATGGAGTGAGTATAATATATCATTAGTGTTTTATTATTCAGATTTTTGATTCCGAAAGAAATGCTGATACACACAACCGCGTATTTTGGATTTTTAGCATACCTAACATTAGGGATACACCTAATTTATAGGTTTTAAAATATGAGATGTTTTTCTTTTCTTCATTACCCAGCTAATACTTTAAAGAAGTAGTTTTTCTACAACCCTTAGAAGTTTCCCCAAATCAATATAATAAGTGACCGTCCTAAATGTTTCAGTTGAGTTCCGTTTTCCCTTTCCTCGAGGATTTTAATTTTTCCTCGATTCTATCGTTATCTTACCCGCATTAAAATAACATCGATTAAAATATTAAAACCTGGCATTCAACCAAAATAATAATAGAAACTAGTCTAATGTATTTGCGTATCGAATGCATAAAAATAATATCGTATATATTATACTAATACACACATTATTATTTAATAAGTGTACGGAAAATGTTATTGTTGTCATAATCGGATTTTTGCAGTTTTCACATGTAGTTACTTCATAATACAATAAATAAGGTATTTGAAATATTGTGCAAAATGTTACTAGCGTTTTCATAATGGTTCAATAATTAATAATTATTTTCATTTGTCAGTTCTAACTAGGAAAAAGTTTTCCTAAGGAGCTAGTGATAATGTAATTTTGTAATCAACCAAATTTTATAGTTTTTTTTAAAATTAATATAGGGTGATATTCTGAAGTCCGTATCGATCTCCGTTTTTCAATATTTTAATCACAAACTTTATGGTATGTCTTCAAAAATAATACAATTTTAAGCATTTTTTTTTTAAATTATAGTATACCATATTATTTGAAATAAAATAAAAAATCGGAGTTCGATGCGGCCAGTAAAAAGTCTTCTTTTTACAGATAAAAAAAATAGTTATCAAAATCTGGCAATTCTATAAAGCCTGAGAATTATTCATGTGAAGGCCTTTTTTCGATATAATACAATTTCACCCTATCAACCCCTCCTAAATAGTTATCGGGTAGTATATTAGTGGAAAAGTATTATAATTATAATTAAGGTGGCAGCTATAATATAAAATTTAATTTTCGAATTTTATAGAATTGCGAAAAATTTGAAAAACTGACACTGGGGGGGGGGCCTTATCGTATATAACGTTTGTATTTCAACCGTATTGCAACCTCATGGTGCGTGGGCCCTACAACAAGACCAATATTGTATTGTGTTTTATTATTATTCCAAATTTACGAGATCCCGAGTATATTATATTACTGAGCTTTCAAGAATGATAAAGTCTTGAAGAACAATTCGATAATCATATTTGTAACAAACCGTCGAAAATATAATAATGAAATAATTTAAATTTATTTTTCCTATATTAAAGTAAACACTATATAAGTAGGTACCGTACGTTATTATACTGCACGAGTATATTTATGATAGTATTACAGGAGCATGATTAGTATGTCAATAACCATGTCCATAGAAACTTGATATATTCGAAAGAGCCATCCTTTGATTAAAAACACGCTTATCGAACTATACATTTGTATAGCAAGATTGGTTAGGCAATAAATTTAAGTCGTAGTTTCCAATTTTAGCAAAATGAGTTTAAAGTCATAAACGAAAATAAATCGACCTGACTTAAGTTAATTTTATAATTAGTTTTATTTACTACTTACGAAGTTCCCACTGAGTCTATTTTGTTGACGTGTTTTTAAAGTAATATGATTTTACCAAATTAATGAAACGTGCCAAATTCGCATAGATCTAAAATCTTAGTAATATTGTATTTTGTTCTTTTATACGACTACCAAACAATGAAAACGCTCACTAGCACAAGATTTTTTTTTGTGGGAGGGGGAGGGGTTTGAATATTGTTACTAGCACGTATTTCAAATGTATTTAAATTCAATAAATAGTACTTTTTTTCTAAATTCGTTAAAATATCAGCGAAGGGAGAGTGGAGTTTGAACACCCAAATCCCCCCTCTAAGCACGTGGTTGGAGATGTCTAAATACTGAATCCTCTATAGTACCTATATATTTTTAATTTTATTACCTGTGTGGTACGTGTTGTTTAACATTTTATCTAACATAAATTGTCGTATAAATTATTATATGTAAAATATACTTATTCGACCATCTATGATGAACATCGTATATGCATGTGATATTATGTCCTAGATTCTTTACAGTAGCAAACAACAGATTTTTTAAACACGACATGTTTATGACACAAAATAATGTATATTCTAAAAGAGTTTGACAACCATTCTGATTCTGACACCATAATGGGTTCATCCAGAATACCAGGACCCATGAGAACCGCTGCTCGATTTCTATTGTATGTGGTTGCTATTTATTGTTTCACATTATGGGACGGCGATTTATGAAAATTTAAATTTGTGACACTTCGAAACCAATTAACCATTGTTTTTTTTTTTTTTTTTTCACTTTAGGGACATTTCCTCTGTGATATTAAAAATAGGACTGCATGAAGATTGTGAAATTCATAAGCAGGTGTTAGCTGTCCGCGAGACAAAAGACGGCTGGTTCGATTTGTGTTCGCCGATCGAAGCTGTGTTCTGCGGAAGTTCAATAGTCTGGACTCAATTGGTACGTTTCTAAATCATACATTCATTATTAGTTTGCGTTGCATAACAGCACAAAGTGTAAACCACACAAAACATAACATTTATAACTTTATAAGACACATAAAACGAAGTCAGTATATAAATTCGCCGAATCGTCTTTTAGATTTTTTAAACGTATATATTACATTATGGTCGAAATTCGATTGACTTACAGCAGAATACTGTAAAAAGAGATCACTTCTCTGGCTTCATAACTCTCCGAGAGTCTTCACTGTCACTGCCACCGAATTCTATATTTCCCCATCTTGCAAAGTTTCCCTCCGATCTTCCAAATCCGGATCTATAAAGTCCTGGCTTACCTCAGCAAACCATCACTTCCTTCGTCTACCTGCCGGTCTTTTCCAAACTGACAAATATTCTTTGGCTGCCCCCCCACCCCCTGCCGTTAACTCTTAAAGTCTTTAGTTTGAAAAAAATATAAAATATGTATTAAATGAATATTGTGTATTTTAATATAATACACATATTATTATGTTGGTATAAACCTAATATGTATGATATCTGTTATAATTAGCTTAAAACATTGATGGCTTGCGAGCGGTGCAAAAAAAAGAAACTGTTGAAAAACTTGAAAGCAAAGCATTTGGGAACGTGCGTTTCGGAAGCATTAAAAAACAACAAAATCGTGATGGATGTTTTGTGTTTAATGCTCGAGTGGATGGTCGTGGAAGACTTGCATCAAAGAAATCAGATTGTTGATACACTTAAATCCACGGAATTCGGTAGAAATGTATACGATGAGTTTATGTCGAGGCAGAATCAACTACTCGAATTGGTAAGATAAATATAATATAGGTACAATTATTGATTCTTAATGATGTTTGCACTAGACTGTTTGAATCCCTCGACTTTATGTCAGGATTCCGTGTAAACTTCATCGGAGAAAACATTCGATCCAATTGACGAATAATTATTATTATGTACGATTCAAAATAATATTTATTGTTTATCGTTAATCATAAAATTGCATGGCATGTACAAAGTAGGTACGTTTTATAAAACGCGAAATAATGGCTTTATAATATAATATATAATATATAGAAAAGCAAAGAATTTAATCGTATCGAAATTAAATATATTTCACTCGATTTATTCAGGGTGATTTTGTACGTTATATTTGAAAAATGAGATTTTCGGAAATCTGGCATTCTAATAAACACATTTTATTAATTTCATTCACAGCAACGAAAAGGAGGTCCACAGAATTTATCATTACCGGCCCGAGGCACTGACTTGGACCTGAATTCCATGTTTGATTGTGGCCCATTCGGTAATTTAGAGTCCGTCGACTTGGCTTTTACCAACGTTACAGATACTTGTGCCAATACGCTGATTAAGTTACCATCTTTAAAAGTTCTTAACTTGTGGGGTACTCAGGTACGTGCATGCTCCTCGAAAACGAAACAAATAAAAACAAAAATGGTATAAATTAAAAATAATGATTTTAGTTCGGTGATTCCGGGTTATTAATCATATCGGATCATCTAACCAACTTGCAAGTTTTGAATTTGTGTGAGACCAAAGTCACCGACAGGGGAATCGTATCGCTCATAAGTAAGAAACGTGCCTAATATTTGTTTATTTTTTAACGATAAATTGCTTAACAAACTCGATTTCTGCAGGTCTCATCAATTTGAAAAAACTCAATTTAAATAGCACTAAAGCAACGGTTCGATCCGTGGACGTATTGAAAAAAAAACTACCAGGTTTACACGAAGTAGACGTCAGATACTCATTTGCCTGGTAAAAGGTTTTTTTTTTTTGTTATATTATATTATAATGACGTGTTCAACATAAAATGGTTCTTATTATTTTTTATTTTTGTTGACAATCTGCTGATAAACACATTTTACATGCAAATATAATAATATAATAAAAAAAATAACATTAATATATTTAATATTATTATATAACTGTTTTACTCTTCGAGTATAAAAAGACTGTGACCCTGTGTTTTTTTTATATATATATTATATTTATTATATAAGTATATATATATATATATATATCATTATACTTTTACCTTTGTTTATAATAATGTTATCAAATAAGTAAACTAAACTTTAAGGCGATGAATAATAATAATCGTTCGTTTAATATTTTGTTAAAAATAATTAAGTAAATAATGCTTAAGCGACATCGCATTTGAGAGACGATACATCAACGTTATATTATCTATAGTCGTGCCTTTTTTCATTAAATTGCTAATTATATAGTGTATAAGTACATAAATACTATTATAATTCTCGTATCAAATTTTACTTATAGAAACGCTCAAAGAATTTCAATTTCCATTACGATTTTATTCTATTCTTAGATAGTCGAATATTATGTTATGATATTTGTTTATAATTTTTTTTTTAAATCAATTTTTTTATCGTACAATATTCGTATACATGTGTAATGAGTAATGACGAATTTCGACGAACAAAACACTTTCACAACGGGTTGTTTGTATTTAGATTCCGTTTTTTACGTACCATAAGTATTATATTAAAACTGATATACACGGGATATTAAAATTATGTGTATGTTAAAATAATACGACATTTTTACACTAAAGGGTACGAACTGTGAGGGTAAAGAATAACTAAAACGATTACACCAGGTAAATTGGTTAATACCTGTGTCATACAATGTAAGTACTTAGCTAAAATATTATAAATTAACTACAGTATATAATATGATATAATATAATATTATAACCATTACTATTATTATTTATTATTATTATTATTGTTATTATTATTATTATTATGATTATTATTATTATTATTATGATTATTATTATTATTATCGTTATTATTATCTGCTATATCGAAGCATAAAATATTTTACGTAATATATAATTCGTAGAACTCACGTACATAATTATGTTGAAATAACTTGTATCATGTAAAATCTACGATTAATCTCTATAGTGCTAAACTAATTAGTACATATCGCTATGTTGTTTTTCTTCTTAAATGTATACTTTTTTGTATCATTCACGACGTATAGAATATAAGTGTAAACATTCAAAATTAATTTATATAAATATAATAATATCAATATAAAAGAAAACATCTAAATGATTTTGAAATGATTTTGTTTGCCTTTATTTCGGTTATTTTTAACCTCCGTGTTTTTTTTATGTCATATTTATAAGTCCATGCTATAGTTTTTTTTAATTAATGATTTCAACGATAGGTAGGGGAAAAATTGCGTTGATTGTATCATAATATTATATACGTATGAGATAGAAGTCGCATAAATGAATAATACGAGTATAGGAATGGCAACTAAATGCATAAACGAAATCGTCCCGGACGCACTGTACCTTTTTTTCTTTTAAAAATTATTTTTACTAAATTTTATGTAGGTGGTTAATTAATTAAATTAAATTCGCTGACGAAAAACGAACACATTTTCCAGTCAATTTTAATATTGATCCAGCCTAAATGCATTGATTTTTTTTCGCTATAATGTTGGTTGACTCTAATAAGTTATTTATTTATAATGATATTTCTACATAAATAAAGCCTATTCACAAACCTATTTAAAATATATAATATTATCTTACGATAACTGCAATGCTATTATAATATCAATATATTTTATTTACAGCCGTGCAGTTAACCGGCGTAAATTGCATTTTAATTCCATGAACGATTTTTGTTGGTGTCATTATAATATGCAGTGTATCACTCAAATAAGTATAATATAATACACACACCATGAAGTATGGTATGAATACCAAGTGTATATAATTACTTTTCTTTCACACAGGTACAAGGGTCTTTCAATGCATGAATATTATAAATATCAAAGTAAAACTTTTGTTGTAAAGAAACCTTTGTGATTTCGATAGTCAATTATTTTTGTTTGCACGCTATAATAGCGAACGAATTATATTGGCCAAATATTAAAAAATCACTAAATAATTGGTGTTCTTGAACTCTTCGAGATTGAAGACTATCATATTATTACGTATCTATATTTATAAAAAAAGTGGCTAAACAGGTTCAATTCAAAACTAACTAGATTTAACTAGATTTAATATATTTAATAATAGTAATAATTATACTTTTATTCCAAGTAAAAATTAAAATATTTGTTCGATGGTTTTCGTTTGAATTTAGTATTATCTATATGGAATAAATTACTTGCAGTACGTATAGTATAATTTTATAATATAACATGATGTTATGTAAATGATAAGTGTATAGTGTATACCTCAAGTCTAATTATTATTGGGTATATTATCTACTTATAATGTGATAGTATGATTATAAAAATATACAAATTGATAAAATGTTGTTAATATTATAATATTAAAATAGTACCTACCTAATATCAATAAATTGATTTTATTTTGCATATTATACTATTTATACTAGGACAGTAGGACTATAGGTATTAATTTAAGCTAAAAGCTTTTAACTATATAATATATATTTATTACAATCCATCGCCGCATTGATAATTAGTAATAATTTATCAATAGAATTTCAGAGGATCGAAAATAATGTACAAACTTTTTCTATATAGAAACATAATATTTTAGTTTTAAGATATATTTGCTCTTTTTGAGCTGTTTCTAAATGTTTGAAATTTTCTTCATTTTTCGATTTATTATAATACAATTTTTGTTTCTAAGTCGAATAACTTGAACATTCAATAAAATTTTCGGCATAAGTAGTTGTTCATAGAGTAGTTAAAAACATATTTTGTACGATTATTTTTTGACAAGCGTTTAAAATTCAAAAAAAAGTTTGTAAATTACAAATGATTTATAAATTCATAAGATTTTCAATTTTAATACGTTAAAGTTTGAAAATTTAAAACGAGGTCCCTCTTAATTGTATAAATATCATAACATACACATATATTCAAAATTTAAAAAATATTAATAGTAAAGACTTGAGTCTCTTCACCTTTATGTACCTACTTATTTATTAATATTTTCTATACACAATGTTTTTTTTTAGAAATATTTGGACTAATTTGATGCTATTTATAGGTATCACTAACCTATTCAACCATTCTACGGTACGTTGGAGTTGATATGAAGTTAGTAACAATGCTATAGGATATAGTGTTATACATTTTTTAATAACTAATTATTAGTATAATATAGGCGTACGCAATATTTTAGGCAAAAAATAGTTCAAGCTACCGTATTACTAATAATATTGAATAGAAATTAATTATAAAATGTCCTTAGAAATAGAGGTTGACACTTTGTCTCCGTTTAGAATCGAATTTCGGAAACAATAATGATTTAATTTAATAATCATCATCCATTACAGTGACCTATTATATGATGAAGTACTCTCAAAACATTCTATACAGCAGAGCGAGTTTTTTTTTATTTATTTATAAATAGCCCATACTTACTATGCAATTTCGCCGCATATAGGTATGGTATTTATGTGGCCAAAGTATTATTGGGATTTATGTTAACGTTGGCTCGTTTTATCTGCAAGTCAATCGCATGCACACGCAATAAACATTGCCTACCTATATAATGAAGCACTGATTCATCGGAACAACATCGTGGATCGCAGAGGCTGAGACTAAATCTTCAAAACATTAATCTCGAGTGAACAGTTATTTGTATGATTATATTTCGATCGTCAGCAAATTCCTTGAATCATGGTATTCATCCGGTCCACAACAGGTCGCCTCCTCACCGAAGGTCATTTATAGTTGCATTCCACGACGTATAACAATACTGCGACTGGCAACAAATCTCCAAACGCAGGTTTGTCAAAAAGTAACAAGAAAAAAATTAAGTATCAAACAAAGTAGTAAATTATATATTATTTGGAAGTAAAATTAATACGTTTTTTTGGGATTGTTGCGAGAGCTATTCTTAAGTTTTATAATTTATACAAACCTCAAACCAGAAGTTCATTATCATCGATATTTGACCATAATAATATTACGTTTTAGAGAGTGCATGCTAAAATTTCAAACAAAAAAAATAAAAAAGGTGGGCAAGTGGGTGTCGCTCTGCTGTACTGTAGGTTACAAGTGGTCACTGTATAATGGATGGTATTAAATTTGAATTCAATGATATAATATCATTGTATAAGAAAAACGATTCTGAGCGGTGACGGTATGTCAGTCTATGTATAAGACATATTATATACATATATATGGTATTAAACAAAAAAATGACCTATAATAAATTCCAAATTAATCATATCACAATATCCATTAGATACTTATAACAGTTATAACGCGTTATACATCAACAAAAACCGTGATACTGTCATAGATAATATATAATAGTACACTTTAGAAGTTTCAAGTACCCACGAATAATAGTATTCAATCACAACAAAATAACTAAAATCGTAATTCTTGGTTTAAATATGAAATTTTGTCTCAATTTGAAATTAAAATGTCTGTAAAAAAATAAGTGTGTTTATATATTTTTTAGATTTTTTGGTTACAGTATGAATTATTTAAGAGAATCTTTGTTTTAAATTTTCAATCCTTAGCTATAAAAACTGAACATTTTATAATTTATTAATTACGATGATTAATAATTTTCGAGATTTTGAAAAATTCTGTCAAAATTCGATGTTAAAATGCTTATAAAAAAAATTGTGCCTATGTATTTTTAATATTTTTCAACTGATATTGTAACAATATATCAGGAGCCTTGTATTAAATTTTTACACTTTTTGGCCCAACAGATAAAACTTAATTAATATTTATAGAAAAAAAAAACTAAAAAAATTGAAAACTGAAAAT